CCTGGGTCCTGGCGGTGGGTGCCAGGCCCTCAGCAGCCCTTTAGATCCCACAGGTTCCTGCAGGGGAGAGCCGCTGAGCGGACTGGGCTGTGGGGCTATGTCAGGGCCTCACACTATGGTGGCCTCTGAGGTAGTGGGGTCCTGGGACAGTCTGGCTCCTCTTCCTGGCCTGGGACCTTGGACGTTGAACAGACAATCGGCCCAGAAACCTAAGGCCAGGACAAGGGCTCTACGAAGTGGACCCTGGTTTTGGGAACCGGTGCAGTGAGATGTGGGAGCAACAGCCTGACTGTCTCCTGTCCCGGGTGTGATTGCAGCCAAGGGCACAAACCACTGGTGCAGGCTCCTCCCCTGCTTCGGCCCTGCTGGGGTGTCCGGCAGGAGGCAACCTATCTGCTCTTTCCCTCACGTCCATGTTTTCCTCTGTATTCCCGCTCCCATACTCTCTAAAATCAATGGAGAAATTTGCTTGGGTGAGGATGTGTGTGTTTGTGTGTGTGTGTATATGTATATGTATATGTATATGTATATGTATATGTATTTACTTTTACTGATTAGGCTTAGAAAGGAAGGGGGCACGAGAGATAGAACATCAGTGAGCAAGAAAGAAGGCTCGCTTGCTTATGTACAACCCCCATTGGGAATCCAGGCCTCAACCCTAGCATGTGACTGACCAGGGCTGGAACCTGTGACCTCTCAGTGGTGGGTTGATGCTCAATCAACTGACACAATCAGCCAGGACTGTAGATCACTTTAATACAGGGAATCATGGTCAGGATGATAATGGTAGTGGTAGCTCACAGGGACAGTGTGACTCTGAGGACTGGTTTCCTGCTGGGTCCCCTGTTTGTGGGAGGTGGGTGTCATAACACAGCAAAGGGACAGAGTGGTCATGTAGAGTGTTGAGGAGAGATAATGGCTTTGCAATGGTCAAGGCCTTTAAAAGATGAGTGGACATGAGATGAATTGGAGGCTGAAGAGTAATTCACACAGGATGAGGCTAGGTCTGGTACATAGTTACTTCTCTTAACACTCACCGGGATTTTTGCTGTGACCCTTGGTGTGGCCTGGGGTGTTGAAGCCAGACTTTTGGGTTAGATTAGAGGCTTGAGAGGTCATCTGTGAGACTCACTGGGCTTGGTGCAGAGGGCCATCGGGGCTGGGACTTGAGTGACGGGTAAGTAGAGAGATGTTGGCTGTGACTCCTGAAGGGACATCAAGTGCAGCACCAGGGGAGGTGGCCTGTGGGAATCTGAGATCTGATTGTGTTTCTCAATAATTGAGGTTGAAGGAAAATAGAGTCATGAAGAGAGGACTTCGTAGAAGGTCTCAAGGCTGCCTCTATGAGTGTGAACTCTCAGCATCTGGGCAGGACTTGATCCTGTTTGAATTTGGCAAGCATTCTCTGGACCACACTTGCTGAGTAATGAGTAAGAGGCCAAGGAGATGCCTATGGGGTTGGAGCTGTAGGAGGGAAGGTGTGAACAAGGTGTGGTAGAAAGAGTCTTGTGCCCTTGGTGAGGGAGTGTGAATTGTGATTTCATGGCCACAGGGCCCTGACATTGACCTTAGAATGAATGAAGGGTGAGCCCATGTCTGCTGGTGTCTGGGTGATATAATATGGGTAATTTCAGGGTAATTGCCTGAAAAGAGGGGTGTTGTGTTGCTACATGCCAGGTCCAGAGCTTAGATGCCATTTACCTACCCAGCTGCCTTTTGTTGTTGAGGGCTGACACACTGATCCATAGGAATGAGAAGCATACCAATACAGCCATGTTACCTGGGCTTGAAACTCTCCACTGGTGTGGGTAAAGCAGAAGGATGAGAGAGAAATAGGTTATGGAGATGGTGAATAATTTTGAAAATGAAGGTGATTAGGAAACCACTCATGCTCATCAAGGCAAATCTGTGTTACTTTCGAATTTGTATGCCTGGGAAGGAAGCTGTGTGAGAGAAGTGTTTTCAAAGAACTCTGTGCAGCAGGTAGTGAGAACTGATGGCCTCAGCACCCTGAAATGAGGGTGTAAGGGGGAAGTGTGATGCCATGTATTTGGTGTCTTTGAGGAACAATCTGGGGGATTACAAGGAGATTGCCTGACAAGTGCAGCATCAAATCACTCACATCTCTCCCTGTCCTATGTTCCTGACACCCACTTTATTGACAAGAGGCAGTGTGGCCTACGTGTGAGGCCCAGAGCTCAGGTATCTTCTCTCTGCTCAACTGCCTTTCTTGCTTTCGGAAGACACAGCATCAGTAGGAATATAAGGAGAGAGTGACTAGCATGGGACTAAGGCCTGCTGTCTCCTCTGATGTGTGGAGTTGAGGGAGCAAATAGTTGTGTGTGAGGGGGGAGCATGATGACTATAAAAGCCTAGGAGAGAAACTGATCACGGACTGAACTGTTCCCATCATGACAGGATATGGACTTTGAGGACGTGGCCATTGCCTTCTCTCAGGAGGAGTGGGGGCTCCTTGATGAGGCTCAGAGACTTCTGTACTGCGATGTGATGCTGGAAGTGTTTGCACTTGTCTCATTCGTAGGTAAGACTTTCAAATCACTCTTGGTGTGCTGAGGTGATGTCCTCTCTTCCTTTATTCTCCAAATGTAGCTTTCTCTCTCTCATAGCCAAACAATGGCTCTGCTAATTTCCCCCACTGTCATGTAAAATGGGCATGGCTGCCAGGGGTGAGCTCTGGGGAGACCCCTGAACAAAGGTCTCTAGGAACATCGCTAACACCCACTGCCTTTTACTTGGAATAGGACCTAATCTACCTCCTGCACTGCTTGCCCCTGTCACCATCAAACAAGCCCTGCTGAGCGCTGTTAGCAGAAGACTGAGCTGGAGATCTGGCTTCTCTTCCATGAGGTGCTTGCCATGTGTTGTGTCATATTTCTGGTGAGGCCTTTCATGTTTTGTGATGTTCAGTGGATGAGACCTTCACAGAAGCCTCTTATTAATCCTTCCAGCACCTCTCTTATTTTCAGACGGTTGCCGGAACCCATATATTGTGTGCAAAACACTAGCAATCGGATTTCCCCTGTCACCACAGTCAACACTCAGTTCCTCAGCATTTCTGTCTTTGTAGGTTGTTTACATGAAACAGATGAGGAGGCCTGTTCTGAGCAGAGTTTATCTGTACAAGGAGAGTCACAGCTCAGGGCTTCTAAGACAGAGCCAGCAACCCGGAGGACCCATCTTTGTAAGCAGTGTTTCTCAGTGTTCAAAGCTATTCTGTACCTGACTCAGTCACAAGCAGCAGACTTTGAGCAGAAAGCATTCTTCAGTGAGGCATGTGTGAGAGACTTCTGTTTCAGTGAAAACCCTCACCAGCAGCAGAGGGAAGCCAGTGGAGAGAAGCCCTGGAGAGAAGCTGTGGATAGGGCCTCGTTTGTGACCACGTGCAGCTTCCGATCTTGGGTGCCTTAAACCAAAAAGAAAGGTTGGGAAAGTCTCCCCAGGCATCTCAGGGCTTCTCCAGCACCAGGTAACTCTCAACATTGGGGAGCCATACAGTGCAAGTGAGATTTCACTGGAATTTGTCTGTGGAAAAAGTCATCACAATTGGGGTGGACATGAAAACGCTGCCAGCAACAGCGGGAAAGTCATTCGACCTCAGAGTGTCTGCTTTGAAGAAGTGAATGATGAGGGTAACACATTTGGGAAAGTTTCTACACGTATATTTAACCTCAATCGGCAAAAGAGAGTTCATACTAGAAAAAAGCTCTATGAGTGTACTGATTGTGGGAAGTTCTTTAGAGAAAGCTCTTCCCTCATTCAACACAGGAGAGTTCACACTGGAGAAAAGCCCTATGAGTGCACTGATTGTGGGAAGTTCTTCAGGCAATGCTCTACCCTAACTCAACACAAGAGAGTTCACACTGGTGAAAAGCCCTATGTGTGTGGTGATTGTGGGAGGTCATTCAGGCATAAGTGTGGCCTCAACAGTCACCGGAGAACTCACACTGGTGAAAAGCCCTATGTGTGTGGTGATTGTGGGAGGTCATTCAGTCAAAAGTGTAGCCCCAACAGTCACCAGAGAGTGCACACTGGTGCAAAGCTTTATGAGTGTAGTGAATGTGGGAAATCATGTGGGTCCAGTCACCATCTCCTTAACCATAAGAGAATTCACGCTGGAGAAAAGCCATATCGGCGTAGTGATTGTGGGAAGTCATTCAGTCAAAATTGTAACCTCAAGAGTCACCAGAGAACTCAAACTGGGAAAGGGGCGGTGGGCCGCAATGCCACTGTGTGAGGACATGGTGATGTGGCTGAGCCTGGAGGGTTCAGCAAACCCAGGCATGTTTTGTGTCTAAAGGCGACAGCAAGAGGCAAGGTTGTGCGTGAGGAGTTTTACTTTCATTCTCAGGAAGCCGGGGTCATTGTTTGCCATGATCAGTAGATGGACATTGTGTGAGGCAGGGTTCTGACGTTTTCCCAATACTGTCCAGAGGAAGAGCAGGAGGGGCTGGAAGGAGGGCCCTGTAGGTGATGAGATCACTGGCAGGTGCGCACTGGACTGAGCCCTGAAGGATGCGGGCATCACCCGGCCCCGGGGCTGGGCCAGGGCCCTGAGCAGCCTGAGCCCTTGGGTCCTGGTGGTGGGTGCCAGGCCTTCAACAGCCCTTTAGTTCCCACAGGTTCCTGCAGGTGCAGAGCCGCTGAGGGGACTGGGCTGTGGGGCTGATGTCAGGGCCTCACACTCTTGTGCCCTCTGATGTCATGGGGTCCTGGGGCTGTGCAGCCCCTCTTCCTGCCCTGGGACCTAGGACCTTTAAGACACACTCAGCCCTGAATCCTGAGTCCTATGGATGTGTACACTGAGGCCACCAGCTCCCCTCCTGCAGGTGCCAGACCAGGAGCAAGTGGGCGGCCAACAGGGACGGAAGGAGGAGGACCGGGGGCGCAGGTGCCCTGCATTGGGGAGCCAGGTGCCGCCACCCCACAAGACGCGGCAGCCTCCCAGTCTGAAGGGCAGGGCAGGTGGAGGGCAAGCAGGAGGGACCTGCGGCCCTGGAGGCACCCCGCCTCCCCAGGAGCAGCGCCTGAGCTGCAGAAGGAGGAAGGACAGGCCCAGGGAGAAGGCCCTGGACTTGGCATCCTCGGTCGATGGGGAGCCTCAGCCACTTGGGGCCCGGGTTGCCCTGCAGACCCAGGAAAGGGCCATGTCCCCAGGCCCCGCCTCGGCGGCAGCCAGGAGAATACCCGGCTCTGACCCCACGGTGGGTCTGGACACCTGCCAGCCCTTCGGTCCCATAAAAAAATCTTTGCGTTGATTTGAGAGAGAAGAAGGGGGAGGAGAGATGAAACCACCGGTGATGGGAGCGGATCCCTGGTTGGCTGCCGCCGCCCGCTGGACACTGTGCCTGTGCTTGTGCACAGGCCTGACCAGCGAAGGAACCTGCTCTCCCGGTTCATCGGTCAGCGTCAACCACTGAGCAGCGCCAGCTGAGCTCTGTTGTATATTTTTAATAAAATGTAATGTGTATTTTTTATTTTCGATGGTGTTGAGATGTGTCCCATTCCCTGTGCATATGTTCTTTGGGGGCCTCTCCCAGACCCCCCTCCCCGGGGGGGCCTGTCAGTCTGTCCCCGTGAACCCGGCCTCTGGTCCCATCTCCTCCCCCAGCGCCACTGGCAGCGCCAGGTCACCTTCACCAAGGTCAAGGCCAGGGCTGCGGGAGAAAACTACATCACCCAGAAAGCACTGCGCCCGCTTCCACAGGGGTAGGCGAGTTTAGGTACCTACACTTTCAGTTACGGCGGGACTTCCGGTACCATCTTGGGGAAGGGCGTCGTGGCTTCCGGTAACGACCTGCAGGGTTCAGCCTAGGCTGAGTTGGTGGTGAGTAGAAGGAGGCAGCGCCCCGCTGCGCAGGGTGGGCCTGAGGCTGGTTGAGCCCCAACACCCGGGACTGGGGTCCCCGAGGCTCTCCGACTTCTCTCCGCCGACAGAGTCCACTCAGCGTCACCCCATTGGACCCTCCAGCCTCGGTGCGGGCACCGCTTGGGTCCCGCATCCCAGGGCGCAGCGTCCAGCACAGTGAGTCCTCGTGGGGACTCGGGTTACGAGGGGGAGGGAGGGCGACGGGCTGCGGTGCCGCAGGGAACTGAGCCGGGAGGTGGGGCACCCAGGCCTGGTTTGTGTCTAAAGGCGACAGAGAGGACGAGAGGCGGTTCCCGGGAGGAGTTTCACTTTCCTGCGCAGGGCGATGGGGCTGTGGGTGGTTGTGAACAGCAGAGGGACCTTGAGCCCCGAGGGAGGCGGGCATCACCCGGCCCGGGGCGGCGCCAGGGCCCTGAGCAGCCTGAGCCCCTGGGACCTGGGGTGGGTGCCAGGCCCTCAGCCCTTTAGTTCCCACAGGTTCCTGCGGGTGCAGAGCCGCTGAGGACACTGCGGGGCCGCCAGGGGAGGCCGTTGGGGGGGACTGAGCCGGGAGGTGGGGACACCCAGGCCTGGTTTGTGTCTAAAGGCGACAGAGAGGACGAGAGGCGGTTCCCGGGAAGAGTTTCACTTTCCTGCTCAGGGCGACGGGGCTGTGGGTGGTTGTGAACAGCAGAGGGACCTTGAGCCCCGAGGGAGGCGGGCATCACCCGGCCCCGGGGCGGCGCCAGGGCCCTGAGCAGCCTGAGCCCCTGGGACCTGGGGTGGGTGCCAGGCCCTCAGCCCTTTAGTTCCCACAGGTTCCTGCAGGTGCAGAGCCGCTGAGGACACTGGGATGTGGGGCTATGTCAGGGCCTCACACTCTGGTGGCCTCTGAGGTCGTGGGGTCCTGGGGCTGTCGGCCCCTCTTCCTGCCCTGGGCCCTGGGGACACTCAGCCCAGAGTCCTAAGGCCACGGCTGGGGCTTTATGACGTGGACCCTGGTTTTGGCAACGAGTGGAATGAGATGTGGGAGGTCCTCCCAGGTACAGGGACCAGAATGTGCAAAGGCCCAGAGTGAAGACTGAGCTGGTTCAGGAACGGGCAGGTATCCTTTTAAAAATATATACTTCTATTGATTTTAGACATAGACAGGGAGAGGGAGAGAGACAGAGACATCCATGCGCAAGAAACAAGGATGATTGGTTGCAGGCATGTGACCTGACCAGGACTGGTGCCTGCAACCTCTCAGTGCAACATGGGTCGATGCTCAAGCAACTGAGACACGTATCAGCCAGGGCTGTAGATCACTTTAATATAAGGAATCATGGTCCCTGGCTGGTTAGGCTCAGTGGATAGAGCTCAGCCTGCGGACTGAAAGATCCCAGGATTGATTCCGGTCAAGGGCACATGCCCGGGTTGTGGGCATGATCCCCAGTAGGGGGTGTGCAGGAGTTAGCCAATCAATAATTCTCATTGATGTTTCTATCTCCCTCTCCCTTTCTGAAATCAATACAAATTTATTAAAAAATGTATAGGGGATCATGATCAGGATGATAATGATAATAGTAGCCCAGAAGGGACAGTGTGGGCCTAAGGACTGGCTTTCCAGCTGGGGCCCCTGTTTGTGGGAGGTGGGTATCACAGCGAAGCATAGGGACAAAAGTGGTCGTGTAGAGTGTTGGCGAGATAATGGTTTCCCAGTGGCCAAGGCCTTTAAAAGATGAGTGTACGTGAGATGAATTGGAGACTGAAGAGTAGTTCCAACAAGAGGAAATTAGGACTGGTACATATTCTCTAAACCTTCACCAGGATTTGGCTGTGACCCTTGGTGTGACCTGGGAGGTTGCAGTCAATCTTGTGGGTTAGCTTAGAGCAGTGATGGCGAACCTATGACACGCGTGTCAGAGGTGACACGCAAACTCATTTTTGTGGTTTATTTTTCTTTGTTAAATGGCATTTAAATATATAAAATAAATATCAAAAATATAAGTTTTTGTTTTACTATGGTTGCAAATAACAAAAAATTTCTATATGTGACACAGCACCAAAGTTAGGGTTTTTCAAAATGCTGACATGCCGAGCTCAAAAGGTTCGCCATCACTGGCTTAGAGGCTTGAGAGGTCATCTGTGAGACTCACTGGGCTTGGTGCAGAGGGCCATCGGGCCTGGGACACGAGTGACAGTTAAGTGGAGAGATGTTGGCTGTGACTGGTGAAGGGACATCAAGTGCACCAGGGAAGGTGGGCTGTGGATATATAAGATCTTATTGTGGTTCTTCTGTGTGTTTTATTTAAAAATTCTTTATTGCTGAAAGTATTATATATGTCTCCTTTTTCCTATTGACCTCTCCCGCCCACTCTCACCCTCCTGCACAGGCCTCACCCCGCTACTGTCTGTGTCCATTGGTGATGCTTATATGCATGTATACAAGTACTTTGGTTGATCTCTTACCCCACTTTCCCCCTTCCCCTGCCTTACATCTGAAATTTGACTGTTCAATGCTTCCATGTCTCTGGATCTATTTTTTATTTTTTTTTTTGTGATCTCTTACCCCACTTTCCCCCTTCCCCTGCCTTACATCTGAAATTTGACTGTTCAATGCTTCCATGTCTCTGGATCTATTTTTTATTTTTTTTTTTGGTTTATGTTGTTCGTTATATTCTACAAATGAGTGAGATCATGTAATACTTATCTTTCTCTGATTGGCTTATTTTGTTTAGGTCTATCCATGGTATTGCAAACGGTAAGAGTTCTTTCTTTTTTATAGTAGTGTTCCTTTATGTAGATGTACCACAGTTTTTTAATTCACTCATCTGCTGATGGGCACTTAGGCCGTTTCCAAATCTTAGCTATGGTGAATTGTGCTGCTATGAACATAGGGGTGCATATATCCTTTCTGATTGATGTTTCTGATTTTTTGGGATATAGTCCTAGAAGTGGGATTACTGGATCAAGTGCAATTTCCATTTTTAATTCTTTGAGGAAACTCCATACAGTTTTCCACAGTGGCTGCACAAGTCTGCATTCCCACCAGTATTGTATGAGGGTTTCTTTTTCTCCGCATCCTCTCCAGCACTAGGCATTTGTTGATTTGTTGATGATAGCCATTCTGACAGGTGTGAAATGATACCTCATTGTTGGATTTTGTCAAATGCTCTTTTTGCATCAATTGATATGATCATGTGGTTTTTGTTTTTCAATTTGTTTATGTGATGTATCACATTTATTGATTTGCAGATATTGTACCAGTCTTGCATCCCTG